TTCAAACTTTTGATCTGAATATTTTTAATTTGAAAAAATTTATGACATAAAAAGTGTGCCCCATTACTTTCTTGTCACATAAGGTTGAACCAAAAATAATTGGATCCTTTTCATTTCATCATAACCTTTTTTATCTTACTTATAATATTTTATATTTAATATCCACCCTGAAGATTTATACATCGTTTCATAATATTTTTATTATTTTTAAAAATATAAAATAATTAGTATTGAAATTATAGATAAATCAGGAAGAAATTGAGAAAATCGAAAAACACCAAAAAGGGGAAATAAATTTAAATAAAAAGCAAAAAGATCGTTTGGATCACTTTAAAGAACGCTTCGAGACATGGATTGTTGCAGAATTTTGGTTGAAAAAAGCTTTTAAAGACGTTGCAAAATTTTTTGAAAAAGAAAAAAGTTACAATTATAATCTTAGCTTTTTGAGTTTGCTTGCTGATGATATAGAGAAAAGGAAGGAGTTACCTGTAGTATGGTTGGAATATGAGGAAGAATATCTTAATTTTAAACAATTAAGTAGCAAAATTTCTGATGACAAAAATGATGATAAAAAACTTGAAATATTATCGGTCAGCCAAGTAATATTCTAACCATCTGTCAAATTTTTCTAAATTTGATTTCCGTTTTTGACTTTTGCCATTAATTTTCCTAAAAAAATTTAATTTAAGGTTTTAATCCGCATCAATGCCGGAAAAGTTTTGTTAGCCTATACACGTATGAAACAAATTTTTAAAGCCTTCTATTTTGATGATTTTGATAAAGAAAAACCACAAATTTTGGCTGGAACAATTGAAAGTAAAATTAAAAGTGAAGATGACAAAGTTATTCAAGAAAAAATTCATAACCGGATTTATGGATAAGAAATAATTGGTTTAGTTAGAAATTTTCATGGGAGCATGTACATGATGACAAAGAAATGTTAAGGCGCAAAAGCCCAACTTTGAAAAAACCAAAAATTAAAAATTTAGTATTTCCTTTAAAATAGCCATTGGATATCTTTTTCGATCGGCATCTAGAGGGGGGATATTTTAGAGGAAATACTGTAGTTTTTTTCTGAAAAATATTATTTTTCCTTTCCAACTATATTCCTTATAATAAATTTCTAAAAATTTATCAATATTCTGATCGAAAATTAAAAACTCCAAAAATATAAAACCAAAAAGTTCGGTTCGGTTCTAGTTTATGAGTCCAAATAAATATTTATGAGCCCAAACTACTTCATTGGACCAGCATCAAAAATTCCCTATATTTGATATTTTCTATTTTTTCTGTTATTTTACTATATTCTTTAAAAAAATTTTTAATTTGTTAGATTAGAATAAACTAAATAACTGCAATTTTGTTGAAATTCTTATTGATAGCAAAAATTTTTCAAAATTATTTATTTAAAAAATCGGCTAAAATAAATACCTTTTGTAAAAAAAAGGATGTCAAGTGATATCCTTGACTCTCGGTCTTGAGGGTCTTGGGGTCGATTCCCAGTCTCGACTCTCGGCTTTTTTCACTCCCGAACATCACTACTACATATATCCATTCATATTTTATTTCAATGTAACTTCATCCCTTTTGAAGAAGAATCCAACAACTAGGTATTTCCGTATATCCCCATTAATCTACAGGTTGGTGGCTTTATTGTTCACATTTCAACTCTTTTCCGACTGCATAAATGATAGTTTTTTGATTATTTTAATCTATAAGTATAATATTTTGAAAAGAAAATAGTGAATCTCTGATCAAATGTGATCAATGTAAAGGATGATCAAATGCAAAAGAATTTTGATAAAAATAATTTTTAGTTGTTATCTACAATTTTTGAAGTTAAAATTGTTTTTAATAAATATTCTTAAAAATCTTTCTATTTTGTGTTTATGTTAGTCATCATGTTTAATTATGATAAATAAGACAAAAAAGTAGTTGAAAATTATTATTAATTTTTAAAAAATATAAAATAAATGAGATAACAATTTAAAATATTTTTTTCTGAAAATTGCTTTACTTTCGGTAAACATATTTATTACTTTAAAGATGTAATAAAATTATTTAAAAATTATTAGCAAGTATTTAATAGAAATCAACTTGCTTAAAAAATCATTTAAAAAATTTTTCTATTATTTTCTTATTTTTTTTAGAATGTTACAAACTAGATCAAAATCTGTTTTTGTTTCTAAAAGACAGGTAGAAACTGATGAAATATTTAAAATAAAATTTAAAAATTTTGTCAGATTCTTTTAATATTTTTTGCTTTTCTTTCCGTCCTCTTTTCCGTCCACGGCAAAACATTTGTCACTCCAACACCTTCAAACAATGAAGCTAATTTAGTGGAGGAAAATAAAAAGGATAAGCTAGAAAGTAAAAGTATTACTGCTGATGAATTAAGACTTTCTGGAGAGGTGATTGTAAATTATTTAAATTTTAAAAGTAAATTTTAAACAAAAGATTTACCCAATTTGGTATAATTTAACAATGAAAATATTCGTTCCTGGCTTTGGAGCACAAATTTATGACGAAACCAATCTAACCTTTAATGCTAATTTGCTTATAAAATTCCGTGTTGAACAAAGCACTTGTCGAGTAGAATTAAATGCTTTAAAGCTTTCTTTTGATCATTATAATCTTGAAATGTACAAGTTGGATCGGGTGGATGAGAGTTATCAAAATATGTCAAAATCAATTCCTAAGGTTGTTGAAGTCAGAGTTGATGAAGCTAGGGAGAAGTTTTGTTTAAAATAATCTTGATAAATTTATAATTATCAATTTTTAGGTCTTTTTTGAGTTAGACAGGATATTGGAGATAGGCGAACATTACATTATTCGTGTAGTTACTTTAATAATTAGCCTGATTACTCGATCTCCTATGTCTTCATATAATATTTTTTAGATTGCATACTCGGGACCAATTGCCTCTAAACTTGCTGGCCTCTATTTAACAACATACATGACTCTCGCTGGTGAGCACAAATTTGCGGCAGTTACACAGATGGTGCCTACTGGTGCGCGAAGAATGGTTTCAGCAAAATATATATACTTTAATTTTTTTTTAAAAATTTTCTATAGGTTCCTTGTTTTGATGAGCCACATTTTAAAGCTATTTATCGACTCAACATTATCCATCCTTTTGGTTCCAAAGTTGTTAGTAATTCGAAAGAGATTCGTGATGGAGTGCCTACAGACAATGAAGAATGGGTTCGAACCGACTTTGATGAGACACCTCCAATGTCTTCATTTTTGTTGGCTTTGGTAGTTTCTGACTTTGATTTTGTTGAGGGATATACAAAACGTGGAATACGAGTTTATTTCTTTTTAAAAATTAAAACTTAATTATAATTTTCTAGTTTCGAATATGGGCAAGAAAAGATTTTATAAACTTTACTTCTTATACTTTAGAAGCCGGAATTCGTGTTTTAGAATTTTATGAAGATTATTATGGAATTGAGTTTCCGCTTCCAAAACAAGATATGGTGGCTTTTCCTGATTCCGAAGCCGGAGGGACAGGAAATTGGGGAGTGGTAGTTATATTTTAATTTAATTTTTTTTTACAAATCTCTCCACAATAAGGTCACATTTCGTGAAAAATATCTTCTGTATAGTCCAGAGTTATACACTCCTCTACAAAAGATGGATATTACCTCAATTATCGCTCACGAATTAGCTCATCAATGGTTTGGTAATTTGGTTACTATGCGTTGGTGGAGTGATTTATGGCTTATTGAAGGTGTTGCGACTTTGATGGTTCTGTTTTTTACTGTAAAACTTAAAAAATAATAATTTAAGGAATATTTGGGTACAGATGCAATCAACAACGGCAGCTTTAGAATGCGTGATTATTTTAATATTAAAGACTTAAGCACCGCATTTGACCGAGATTCTCGAACAACATCACATCCTTTATTCTTTGAAATTCAAAAAGCTGAAGATGTTAACGAAGCTTTTGACCCAATAACTTACAGCAAAGGTGCAAGCGTTTTGAGGATGATAAGATCTGTGATGGGCGAAGAATACTTTAAAAGTGGAGTAAATGTAAAATTTGATATTTTAATTATTTTACTGTGATGGATTTTATCATAACCCTTAAGATAATACCGTAAAAGCTCGAATAATTACCCTCTCTCAAATAATTACCCCTTAAACAACTAAGTACACTCTCTTCTTCCTACACAAATTTTGAAAATATTGAAAAAATCTGTCATTTTTAATCGCTGAAACATACATTTTAAGACAAAATATCAAAAAAAGAGATCCATTTCCTCCTCGATATATTGAGATATACCAAAAATTTAGCTCTCCTCTCGATCAATTACCCCCTCCAGCGAAAGGTCAAAACAATAATTACCCAGGGTAATTATTCGAGCATATACGGTAATTTACTTATGTTTAACATAAGTAAAATAGATATATCTCTAATAATTTTTCTAAAGATCTACTTAAACCGTTTCAAATACCAAAATGCCGAACACTCTGACCTATGGGATGCATTAACAGAAGCAGTCCCCCAGCATCTACTTGACAGAGAAGGAAACTCTTTTAATGCTACAAAGTTCGCAAAATATTGGACTGAAGAAACCGGATTCCCTGTTCTAAAAGCATGTTCTAATTTAAAAATAAATTAAGAGTTTTATTTTAGGTAAAACAAATTTCTCCCAACAAAATTTTGTTAACTCAACAACGTTTTCGTCTAGACAATAACCTTAATTTAACCAAAAATTTTGCTTATATCCATCACGTAAAAATTTTTTATGTGAAACCGTAATCCCTGCGGGATTCCATTAAATTTGGGACGGGATTAGTGAAATACAAGATTTACGGTATTAACCCAAAGCTATCGTTCCAGTCGATCTTTAAAAAATAATCCGGTTAGCGATCCCGGATTTGGATATTTTCCTGCAATCTAAACTGAAGCTTGAAAGATATGCCATTTAGATAACATTTATTTTTTCTAAAATATCACAATCTAGTTTTTAAATGAGAGAAAAACTCACAAGATGATGGAAAGAAAAATTGAAGAGGAAAATGAATTTAAATGGGATATTCCTATTTGGTGGAGTATTAATGGAAAAGATCAACCAATGCTTTGGTTAAAAGACTCAACAGAATTGGAAACGAGTGCTGGGGATTCAATCGTTTTAAATTTTCGTTCTGAAGGATTTTATAGAGTACAATATGACCCTGATGAAATACACCAAATTCGACAACAATTATTTGATAACTATACGGTTGGTTTTTATTATGGGTTGGAAAAACGATGGACAATTAAATGGTTTTGTGGGAATAGTCATAGTAGTCATTGGTTTTCACATTTGTGTTTAAAATTTAGAACAATTAATTGGTCTAAACCTATAAAGTTTTCAATTTATTTTCTACAAATTATAGAAATTTTCAATGGTTAGCCGTGTACGTATAATTAATGATGCATTTACATTAGCAGAGGGTGGTTATTTGCCCTATGAAGTAAAATTTCTTAAGTCTTAAATGTAATTATGTTTTAAAGGATATTTTAAATTTAACTAAATATTTGGTAAATGAAGAGGAATACCCACCTTGGGAAATGGCTTTGACTGGCTTTAATGTAATACAAAATTATTTTGACGATGAACCTGAAACTGAGGATTTGCGGGTAAAAATATTTTTATTGAAAAAAAATTTATTTTAAAAATTTATTTAATAATTCTAATTACCTTATTTATTCAAATGCCCCCCCCCCCATTCTCCAGTGAAAATTTAAATAATTACCAGGGTAATTATTTGAGTAAATACGGTATTTGTTTAAAAAATTTAATTTTTAATAGGATTATATTAAATTATTAATTGGTGACATTTTTGATCGTGAATTGGATAAAATTGGAGAATGGAAATTTGAAGATGAAGAAAAAGATTTCTTTAATGAGTAAATATTTAATTATTAAAACAATCTTTTATTTTCAAAGTTTGCTTGGTCAACGCATAATTCAAACAATGTGTACTTTAAGAGATTCACGTTGCATAAACGCTATTCTTGACATTTATCGGCGGCAATTTGTGAATTTCTGCTCAAACTTAATTACAAGAGAGAATAATATTAACAATTCAGTGTAAAGAATTTCATAAATAAGAGGGCGGATTTTTATAAATTAAAAAATGTATAATATGCGTAAGAAATTGCCAAAATATGCACGCAAATATGCAAAAAAATACAATTTATAGCTAGAAATTTTACACTTTTTAGTCAAATTATACTGGGTAATTAATTTTATGTTAGGATATCTGAGGGATTTTGATAGGTAGTAGATGTGGTATATGTTTATGAACTCCAATTCAGTGCTAAAACAATTTGAAGTAGGTGAGAGATTTGGATAGTTGAGAATCGGCTATAATAATGATTTTGAAGAAAAGGTCGATATGATAAAGATTTTAGTTATTTAGCTAAATTTAGAATAATTCTCTTATTTATATTTAGATCACCTTCTTTACCCCATATATCAGAAAGAAAAATGGCTAGTCAATGTTCCAAAATACCTGTACCTTTTCGAACTCTAGCTTATTGTGAAGGTGTTCATTATGGAACGGAACAAGATTGGAATTTAGTTTTGGAATTATTTAGAAATGAAATTGTTCAAGTAGAGAAGGAACGTTTACTTATAGCGTTGGCGTGTTCTAGAGATACACTTACATTAAAAATGTAAATTCAATAAAAATTTTTTAAAATATTCTACTAAAATTCATCAGTGAGATAATTAAGAGAGAGTTTTATTACATCTTTTACTTTGAACTTAAAAATGTTTTGAAAATTTTTATGTAAATAGGTCGGAAATAGGCTCAACCAGTTATTAAGTTGATTTTTGATTTAAAAAATCCCTCCAGTTTATGGTTAAATATTTTCAAAAAATTTCATGTTTATTGGCAAGTCTGTAGCAATTCTATTTTTTAAATTCCGAGTTTTCTTAAATTTATTTTTAAGGCTTCTTACAATGGCCATTGATCTTAACAATACAATTATCCGTTTACAAGACAGTCCTTCGGTTTTCAAGTATGTTGGAAGTAGAATTATTGGAAAGAAAATAATTTTGGATTTTTTTATTGATAAATGGCCAATAATTTATCAAAAGTAAGAAAAGGAAAATTTTATAAAAAATGTTTTTTTAAGTTTTAAAGACCAACAACGTATGTTACGTTCAATTATTTCTTCATCAATTATTGGCAAATCTCAAAGGGTTATGGACCAAGTAGAGAACTTTCTTAGTGAAAATCAGAAAACTACAAAGTGTTTTTTATAATATTTTTAAATTTGTTTAAAAAATTTAACTTTTGTGAAAAAAAAATTCAGGAAAATTTAAAAAAATTTACCCAAAATTTTTTAATTTTATAATTTTTAAAGAAATTTGGATATATTTAAACAACGTTTGGAGGTTCTTCAAACCAATACACGTTGGATACAGAAGAATTTTAATAAACTAGCCCATTGGTTTAGGTAAATAAAATTAATTAAATTTAAAATTATTTTTAAACAATTAATAGAGAACATAGTGGTCATTAGAATGGCAAAATTAAAAAAATTCACTTGAAATCTAAACACATTTAATTTTATTCAATTTATTTTTACGTTAATTGATAAAAACTACACCTTTTGTTTACATTTTGCGAGGAAAGAACCAATAAAAAGGTAAAGAAACACAGACTAAACAAATCCCATTTAACGCCCACTTAAATTAATAAACACAACACTTAAAAGGGTGAAGGATGCAAGCAAGATCAGTCACTAAACGCATTTCTCTTAGCTAGCGAAGGAATATGACAAGAAAAATTCTCAATGTTTTTCCTATTTTTAAAAAAAAATTGAAAGATAAAGCCACAGTCTCTATTTGAACCACAGTCTCTAATATAACCATACGAAATTGGAAGGTTGAAAAATAGAACCATTATGAATTTATTAGAATAAATACGGTATATTAAAAAGGGTGAGGGGAAAGGACCCGGCGGTTCCCCAGCATTAGCCAAAAAGGAATTGGGAAGACGAGATTGGCATATAATGTAAAAATATTGAGGAACATTTTAAATGGGGCGTGGTTTAATCTCATAAATTTTTATATTTTCTTTATTCTTTTTCCAATCTCTACATACTTCCACTCTCTGTTTATGCCGTTGTCCCCACCAGTAGCAAACAGTTTGATTGAACTCATAAAGTCAAGTAGAACCAAATTTTATTATTCTCTTCAAACGTTACATTTTTTAATAATGTTCAAATCGAAATTGTTTTGATAATTGTTGTAGATAAACATTAAATTTTGTAATTGTATTTTGTAAATTTTAATTATATTTGTGTTGGGATCTGGGGTTCCGAAGCCTTTCGAGGATTTACAATTTGTATTATTTAAATTACTTTATTTACATTTAACTATTTACAAATAAATATATCCATCAAAAAGGAGTGAGAGGGAACAATTAAAAGAGTCTGGCCCGATCTCACATAAACACTTTTAATTAGATATATAAATGGCCATTTTGGATGAGTATTTATAGGCAACATTTATCAGAAACGCTAATTAATTGGTTGCTAATAATTATCAGAATTAAACGAAGATACGAGATTGAATAAAAATTTTAGTATAGCACCTTAAACTTGGGTAATTAAACCAAAAAACAATGAAACGTGTGAACGAAATAAATGTGAAATTAATTTAAATCGCGAAAGTGGTAAAAAATGATAATGTTTTTGTGTCGGGTCAGGATCACCCGTCAAATAGAATTGGATGGCAAAACATTGTTGTCGAGGTGCTCCTTACTGTTCCCGCCCCTTGGCCAAAGAAGGCTTGGGGGTCGGTCACAGTAAGGAGCACCTTTTGAAGAATGTGGTTGTCCCAAGTGGGATAATTGGAGAATGAAGTTGAGTTGGTAGGGGTATACTTCTTTATATAGTGGGGGTTGATTATTATCTTCTTTATAAAATAAATTATTTACATTCAAAAAAAATGTGGTGAGAATGTTGGAAAAGGCGAAATTGAAGTTAAAAAAATTGTTGCCGGACCGAAGAAATTGTTGCCGGACCTTATCTTTTCTTATCTTTTCTTATCTTTTCTTATATTTTCTTATCTTTTCTTATCTTTTCTTATCTTTTCTTATATTTTCTTATCTTTTCTTATATTTTCTTATCTTTTCTTATCTTTTCTTATCTTTTCTTATCTTTTCTTATATTTTCTTATCTTTTCTTATATTTTCTTATATTTTCTTATCTTTTCTTATATTTTCTTATCTTTTCTTATATTTCATTATCTTTTCTTATATTTTCTTATCGTTTCTGATTTTTCTTATCCACTCTCTGTTTATGCCGTTGTCCCCAACAGTAGCAATCAGTTTGATTGAACTCATAATGTCAAGTAGAACCAAATTTTATTATTCTCTTCAAACGTTACATTTTTTAATAATGTTCAAATCGAAATTGTTTTGATAATTGTTGTAGAAAAAATTCCATCCAATTTTTCGGTTCGGTTAACCTCTGTGAGCAACCCTAATATGAAACTATGGTACTTTTCGGTTATGAGGTTACACATTTACAAATTTTAAAAAGTTCTCAAAATGGTCAATATAATTATATATTTTATTTATAATTTACGCATAAATTATAAATAAGTATTTTCCCAGTCCAATCACCCTTTCTATGAATAAATTGTACCGATAGGAGGGAAAGGGTTTTCAATCACATTCATTTTAAGAATGGCTTTAAATTTTATTTCTCTCTATAAACTAACATCTCTTTATAAACTAACATGGCGCGAAGAATGCAAAAATAGAGAATGGATACATTCGATACTATTTTAGAGCAAATAGTTGCATTTATGCCACCTTGTTAATTATATTGACCATTTTGAGAACTTTTTAAAATTTGTAATGTGTAACCTCATAACCGAAAAGTAAAACTATTTTTTAAATAATTTTTTAATTGTAAAATGACCAATAAAAATTTAAGCAAAATTGGGGTTATGTACACTTTATTCTAATCTAATAAATGAAAAAATATATATGTACATAAAGTTTAAAATCAAATAGAAAGTATAGAAATATATACAGGGGTTTGGGGGGGGGGGGGTGGGGGGTGGAGTTGTTTTTTTTTGTTTTTTATTTTTAAAGTTTTTTTTGTTTTTTAAATTTTGTTGCTAAATATGTGAAAAATTATAAAGATAAAAATAATTTTATAGTTACAGATTAGTTTTAAATAGAGTTGTTCATGACCGGTTTTAAAACCGAAAATTTTGATAATTTTGCCAAATATTAAAGCGTTTTTACAAATTAAAAAAAACCGAAAATTCTGAAAATGAGTGATTTTATTAAAAGCCTCCAACATAAAAACGGTATTTGACAAAACTGAAGACCGAAAACAGGGTTTTTAAATTTTGGATTAACCGAAAACCGGGGATACCGGTTAATAACCGGTAGTTGAACAACCCTATTTTTAAACTAAAACGGATATGAGAAAGAATATCTTTCATATGTTTTTTTGAAATAAGATTTTTGAAAAAATTTAAACAGGATTTTTTATGAAGCTTGTTCCGTGTTGGTCTAGACTTTTTGATTATGTGAAAGAATAACTTTAAATAAGGCAAAAGTAAAAAATTCGGCTGAGTCAACAAAAGATTAATTTTCCTAAGCTTTTGCCAAGAATATCACAAAATATTTGCCTGAAACGCTAAATTAGGAAGGTTTCTGGCTTGACTTTTGAAAATTAAAATTTTACAATTTAGCCTATGAAACCAAAAAGCTTTTCTCGAGTCTTGTAACTTTTTGGTTTGATAAACACAAATATATAGGTAAATTAGAAATAAATTTGGAAAAAATTATACATGAAAATCAAACGGTTTTCCGTTAAAATTTAACAATTCCCTCATGAATTTTCTCAAAATGGTCAGGGAAACATAAAAGGGGGCGTCAGCCGAAGAATTGGCTCACAATCATTAAAACCGTCAATCGTAAAAATATTGTTTGTCGCATAAATTTGATGGACGTATAAAATTGTTGTTGTTCGAGTCAAGTTTTCAATCACGCTTATCTCCTCCAGGATATGTATCATATCGAGGATATGTATCATATTGAGGATGTTGTTGAGGATGTTGCTGATATGTATCATATTGAGGAGGTTGCTGATTATTCATAAACGGATTATTCATTATATCTTCTGTTCATAATAAGTTAATAAATTATTTAGTATATATTTTTTAATCATATTATAGGGCGGAAATAGGATTGTGAAATTTAAACTAACTTTCCCAGCGACCCCACCTATCTATACCAATATAATCCAAGGAAAAGGAGAAAAAGGGGATCATTCAGTCAGTCAGTCTAATAATCAGTCAAGTAAACGGTCTTCATATTTATTGCCCGATCGGAGGAACTGGTCGTCGGCCGTTTAATCGCTCTTAAGGGGTATTTTCCCGATTAATTCCCCTCTCTTGAATAATTCCCCTCCCTCGATTATTCCCCCATGCCAGGGAAGGGTTGAAAAAATAATTCCCCAGGGGAATTAATCGAGAACATACGTAATTGGTATTCACATCATGTTCCATTATTCTGGGTTCTATACTGGGTATGGATTCAGCAAATTTCTATATCAAATTTAGTACTTTATTTTTTATATTAAAAAAGTGCCTAGCGACAAGCTTTGTCGGTATTATTCATGATATTTCTAAGGCCCGCTAACGAATTTGTTACTCTCGAAAAATTCATTTTAAGTAGATGGAATAGAAAACATTTTAGTAAAACATCTTTTTGGGTAAGGTATTTCTGAGGTGTCATTGGATCACTAGCCGTTATAGTGATCGTTGTTATACTTAAATTCTAATTTTAACTTTATTCATAAACTAAGCTAATCAAAAACATGTTCTACTTAACCTCTAATTTTTTATTTTTGTTGAGTTTAATTATCTTCATATTTTAAAAACTTACCTAGATATCCGTTTGACTGACTAAAACCAAAATTTGTGTAAATATCTTGCAACTGTTCCTGCTCAGTTTTAGCACTTTCATTTTTGCCAATATTATTTGGAATATTAGATTCCATTTCCTCATCCGATTCTATCAAAATATATTTATCTTTCCCTTTGTTTTGAGCATCTAGTCCTTGATAACCATGCCCATATGGACTCTTGTACGGTTCTTGCTTATTTTCGTAAATTTGTAGTGGAGTATAATCCATAACAACATTTTTAACTTTTTCTTTGGCTAAATTTAGGAATATTTTGAGTATATATTTGA